ATGCTGTGATATTACAAGAAAAGATCTGTAACCATTACAGGCAAAACTCTTGTAAAGTTACAAAGAAAACACCTGTTGCTGTTACTCAAATAACCCATGGCATCCCAGTTTCCATGAGTTTTCTTAGTAACCTTACAGATTTTTTTTTACAGTGCACCCTTTTAGTTCAGGCGCCACTGTAGAGACATTAGGATTTTTGAAAGCAGCAGGAGACTTGAAAAATGAGCTATTCCTTCGCCAGGAATCGAACCACTGAGCTCTCGAATACGCGCCGAGCGTGCTGACCACCCCACTACGAAGGCATACTAAGAAGGCGGGATAAATACCTTATAAAGTAAACAAAAATATGTTATTTATTCATGTAAATATTGTAACGTAGGCGGTGAACTCAATTCTCTGGCTACGTTACATTATACAATTACTTCACAAAAGTACAGTTACATCCGCAAATGTTTAAACCATATAATTATAAAAGTATTGACTCTTATATACAACTAAAAACATACCTAATTCGTCTCTTCGCTGCCACAGATTAAAGGGAACGTATTATTCATTTCGGTGTATAACATCCACACTGAAATGATTCTCCTGTCGACAGAAGGTGTAACATAGGTATTTTACTCAATTCATATCAGATGCAATTTTATAAAACCGTAGTCTCTTCTTTTCCTTTTAGCAAGATACTGCATAAGATGTGAAAGTCCCGTTCCCCTTCTTGTTAAAAAAATAGTAGCCTTTACAAAATAAAGAGTATAATTTAGAACTCAAAATACTGCGTGGCTTTGAGTTATAATAATTAACTATATTCCTTAAACTGTTTTTTCAATCCACTGTAATTTTTAACTGTGCAGGTTTATTTTGAATTGTCACAAGACTAATATTTGTTAGGAAAGATATGTCATCATAAAATTATTTTCGGAGTAAATAGGTTTTTCTAATTGATATTTCATTTTAAAAAACTGTGTCTACTTTTTTGATTGGTTCAGATGTACACTTCCAACATATCTTTCATTTACTTCATGCAATTCATAAGACAAAGATTCTTAAAACGTTTCTGGTTATTTCATTGCATTTTATTGTTAATGTATAGAATTAATCAAATATCTATATTTTATTCATTAGGGTTTCATAGTGTTCGAATACAGAAGTTGTTCTGTTAATTTATGGAAGAGATAAAATTAAGTGAATCAAAATTTGAACTTATTCGGGAATCCAGTTTTATTTTACTGATGACATCATAATTTATAAAAAAATAATAATAATTTATATTACAGTCCATTGCAAGAAAGGTGAAGAATACAAACTCTGTGGATCACCTTGTGAAAGAACTTGTGCAAATTATCGCTTTCGCATTGGCATTAAATGTCCCAAACCTTGTGAAACCAGGATGTTTCTGCAAGGACGGTTTAGTTCGTGATTCGAATGGAAATTGTATAGATCCTGAAAAATGCGGCAAAAGTAAAATCTTATTAATTTCTTTATATATATATATATATATATATATTTTTAAATTTCAAAACATTTTAAAGAATATTTTTTTCCCAGCAGTCTGTGGCAGACATGAAGAATATAAAGAATGCGGTACAGCATGTCCTGCAAATTGCACAAACAGAAATCCAATATGTACACAACAGTGCGTTAAAGGCTGCTTTTGCAAGAAAGGCTTCGTGAGATCGGAAAATGGCACTTGCATATCATTGAGTCAATGTCCACAAGGCAAGTATATAAGTGATATTTTTTGCAGTTATCTAAGAAAAACATACCACCGGAAATAAGCATTTTAAAACATTTTAGTTATTCAAACAACTTATTATCAAGAGGTGAATATTTAGTTAAGATACAATCAGTTCGTCATGGGTACTATATTTCGTCAGCACTACAGTATTTTCACCACTAATTCCTTAATGGACACAAGCTGAAAATGAGTGGATATTTCTAATATGGTGATGAAAATCAAACCATTAGATAGCGAGATCTTAATTGCCTCACACAATTCCTAAACCAAATGTGTTAATCACGAAAATCAAGCTGTACGTAGCATAGGAGATTATGACTATACAGTCATTACACGGTGCAAAAGACCAAGAACGATACACCATAACCGGTTATGGTGATCGATGTACATAGTGAATTTAATGATTTTTCTTTTTTTCATAGTTTACTCTTATTTATCTTTACTTAATTTTTGCTTAATTATTGCAAAGCAATATGGACTTTGCGCCTCCGGAGGCAGGATTTTGATTTGTATTATGTGTATAAGATTTCAGCGTTTGGTCAGTGAAACTATGCTCCGCCCACTACTGTAATATGCCTCAACTATTATGCCCACGCTATTCTGTTGCTCCAAGACACGGAGGAAGGAGGACACTCAGCCGTAGTACCTACGAGGAGAAAGTTATGCCAAAGTTTTTATGCTACAGATGTGTTATAAATTTCTTTTACGATGTGAAAGTTATGCTTCAGATGTTCAACCGCTATTTTGCCCAAGTTATGCCACTGTTACATACTGCCACACTGGATGTCATTCAACACTTCAAGTGTACAGGTTTATTCCAATATTTGGAATTTTTTTTTCACTTTTAGGATTCCTACTAAGGACAGTTATAGATAGGTAAAGACTTCAGGGTCGTATACCTATTGAATAAGCGAAGACCTAAGACCTAAGATGGTGATGCTATTGAAATGCGCAGTTTAGGATTAAACGCACGAAATAACAAACTAAGAGTATAATTAAAGAGTTATGCTGTATTTAACAAAATATTTTCGTTGGAAATAAATATAGAACGAAAGAAGCTGAATGTCCGTAATTTTCCTTCTTTGTCACCAAAATGCCTTGATCCGCTGGCTGACATTTGAAGGAGACCCCAAAAGGCTCTAATATCTTCACCACAGCAATTGTTCAGCATCAGAGAGTAATGAGGTGCAGTCTAAGATTAGAACTCCTTACCGTGGCAGATTTCTGGCTTTCATAACTTTTTACACTGAAGAACCAAAAGCGTTAATAAAAATCATTCTTTAAATTTTGCTCTACTAAACTATCTGTTGGTCTTTGTATTCACCCGTGCAATTAGTATGCTATTTTTATTTGCGTATCTTTTTAAGCATTTAAAATTGAAAGAGACGTTTGTCTTCCTTATCACCATTAGTTTTAGTCTGTGTTCGCCTGTCGCGTTGGTGCATTGCAAGGTTTTTAGTTTTTCTATTACATCTTACATGGCCTGGAGATCCACCGATACAAGTTCTGCATGCCAATGTGTCAGAGTTTAAAAGACAATTACTGTGAAACGAATACAAACAACATTTTGATAATATTATTAAAAGAAATTGTTGCAAAGAATATGTTTATCTAAAAATTCTTATAGTTCAACTTTGAACTTAGAATTATGATTAATTCAAAAGAAGTTGGAAAATCACAAGAAAGAGGAATAACTCATATTATAATTAACGGAAAAAGTAGTAAGGATTTTCTGCATTTTCAAGCAATTTAATCTAGAGAAAATATCCATTTAGTTACGTCAATTAACTCAGTGTTCCGAGTAAGAAGATCACCCTGTAAGTGACAGAAGAATAAGCAACATTATAAATAGAAATAAATTAAGTTATATATGGCTTAAAATACAATATTTGCAAGAGACTCGCTTCACATACTGGCCTCAATAGTAATGAAATGGCTGATGCTCTAGCTAAGGAGGGTACTTCAATGACTCTGACCACTGACATCCTGACCTTTTTGGAGATTTGCTCGAGGGTTAAATCTACTGTTGGCTCTTCCTGGCATTCTTCTCCGGCTCATGAGTGGTACTTTGACAGGCAAAATACTATCTACCCCATCTGTAGGAAAGGTAATACTGATCATTTCACTTCTGAACATCTTCTCATCTGTTTAGGAATATAAATGAGAACCTACTGAAAAGATCTACCTTTGTTTTGGATTTATTGATGGTTCTTAAGTTCATGGATCTGGTCTAACGAAGTAGCTGACAAATTAGGATGAGTAACAACAACAAGAACAACACAGACCTTGAGCAATCTCATTTAGCTCAAATTTTCATGAAACGATTGATTAAGCTTTGTACTTTATAGTATTTATATATTTCAGATTATACAGAGTAAAATTTCATATTGCATGAACACAATTTCCAAATCGTATGCCATCATTTCTATCACTGCTATTATTTGGAATAACAATTGCAAACGAAACATGTATTCGGAACTCATTAATCAACTTGGTTTAAGGCTTCAAAACACTTTTCCATTAACAAGTTCTGTTTGAAGCGTTAAACAGAGGAGATTAATAAAAAAGGTACTTTGTTTTGTTATGTATAATGTTCTGTAACTTTTTTAAAACGTTTTGGTTTAATCATATTAATTTTATGATAAAGATTACGCTTTTGAAAGCTTTATTAATTTAAGTTTACTCATTTTGGTAATTGTTTACCCAGAGAAGAACGATTAAACCTTCATATGAAGGAAAAAAATTTTAGTCAATTTCGTTCCGACATTTACATTTTGATTTATATATATATATATAATATATATGCATACGTCTGGTGCGGCCGATTGCATTGAAAAAGGAAGTTGCAAAACTATATGTTAATGCAGTCCCATACACAAAATTTCAACGTTCCAAGGTTACTCGTTTTTGAGTGTTGCGGGTATGTAAATACAGGCAGACGTCACGAAAAAAATCACTACCGAATCCATTTTACAATTCATCTTTGGAAAGAGAGCTTTATACTGTTCATATGTACGAATTTGACGCAGAAACATCGTTCAAATGGATTCAAGAGCGGTCAAAATGTATATTTTCCGTGAAATATGAACACCCGAAATTTTTCGCGATTTCATTACTTCATTTACTTCGTACAAGGAAGTTAAAAGTTTGTTTAAATATTAGTCTTTTGCGATGAATTTAATAAATATTTTATCATCATAATTTATATAAGACGAATATAATATTGATAATAACTAAATAACATAACAGCTGTTTTATTTTACAGTTCAGTGCAAGAAAGGGGAAGAATACCAAATCTGTGGATCACCTTGTGAAAGAACTTGTGCAAATTATCGCTTTCACATTGGCATTATATGCCCCAAATCTTGTGAACCAGGATGTTTCTGCAAGGACGGTTTAGTTCGTGATTCGAATGGAAATTGTGTAGATCCTAAAGAATGCAGCAAAAGTAAAATCATATTAGTTTTTTTTAGTGAATTCTTTTTTTTTTCGTCTTAGAATTTCATAAACAATTGTCTCTTTACTTGCAGTCTGTGGCAGATATGAAGAATATAAAGAATGTGGTACAGCATGTCCTGCAACCTGCACTAATAGAAATCCAATATGTACAAAACAATGTGTTAAAGGCTGCTTTTGCAAGAAAAGCTTCCTGAGATCAGAAAATGGCACTTGTATACCATCGAATCAATGTCCAAAACGTAAGTTGATAAGCACCATTTTTTGCAATACTCTGGAAAGGAAATACTACCAGCCATACGAATTTTAAAACATTCTTCAGTAGTTCAAGGGACTAGTTGTCAGGATTGTTGGCATTTGGTGAATATTTGGTTAAATTACCGTCAATTTGTCAACACTGTAGGTTTTTCACAACAAATTACTTAAATAGACACAGGATGGAAATGCGTAAATGTTTCTGAGATGGCTATGCAACCTTCATATGAAGGAACAAAATTTTAGTCAATTTCGTTCCGACATTTACATTTTGAAAGGAAAATTCAGGATTAAAACTCTAATATAACAAACTAGGAGTATAATTACTAAATTACGCTAAATGTTTGAAAATAATTTGATTGGAAATAAATATGGAACGAACGAAGGTAATAGGCTGACTTCTACGCTTCTAAAATGCCCTGATGTGCTGCTTGAAATTCGGAAGGAGGTGAAAGGCTCTAATCCTTTCGTCGCACATTTGTTCAATATCAGGGAGAAATGAGGTGTTGTCTTACATCAGAATCCGTTTCTGTTCTTCAGATGTTTGGCTTTCATAATGTTTTTCATTGAAGAACTAAAAGCTTTAATAAAAATCAGACCTTAAACACTGCTCTATTTATCCATGCATGCAGCTGTTTTTATAACCATACAGATTTGCTGCTCTTATTTACGTACCTTTTTTACTATTAAACGTGTAAAGACCTTTCATGTTCCCTACCAACATTAGTTTTAGTCTATGTTCGTCTGTTGCATTGGTGTTCTGCCAGTATCTGAAACTTTCCTTTATATCTTATATTGCTTAAAATTCAAAGTTGCACGTTCTTGAGGCTAATATCCGAAACGCCAAGAACAATTTAATTGGAAAAGCTGTAAGCCTACGTACTTTATCGTGGCAAGGGAAACAAGATTACGTCTGTCGTTGGCAACAGCCTTGTGCACCATATAGGTGGCAATACGGTTTTACCCAGTTTCACTCCAATGTTTAGAGACAGCACCCCGGAGATTGGGTCCGAGTGGCTACAACCTCTTTTTCTCTCCCACCACACCACACGAAAGGGCTTTTGGCTGGCCATATATTTAGAGTGCCCCCCATGCCACCAGAAACACCATACATTTACAAACAACCACTCCTTCTCCGGGAGTCAAACCAACCCCTTCGGCACAGTAGTCAAAAATCACTAACGAATATCCCATCTGGACGGCATTTGTGAATGTACAAATATGTTCTTAAATGTACAAATCTTTTCTGTGTCAAAGGCAAACTTTTCTCTACAAAATGCCTAGTTGTCAAGAAAAGAGGTTGTAAAATTTTAGGGATAATTTTCATGAAAAATTAGGCCTTTAATTTACGGTTCTAGGCTCTTACCCAATTAAACCATATAATTATATCTAATTTTTTAGTCTGGTTAATTTTTAACAGGCAGTATTTTTCATACTTTTTCTTTCCTTTAAAATATCTTTGCAAGCTCTGTGTACACAGTCCTGCTTAATGCTTCTGATTCTTGTTTTTCTACCCTCTGGTATTGAGTTTACCTCATAAATGCTCACAACTTTATTTATATTTCTGTCTCTTTCCAACCTTTTTAGTACAGCTTATTACATCTTCATTGTGATATTAAAGTCAATTATCGGATAACCTATTCTAAAAATGAGAGGAAAAAACACCTAGGCATTAGTGATTAGAAAATCATCCAAGCATTAGTGATCTGCTCATGAGGAATCTGAGGATGAATATTTCGATGTGTATCTTGATACTGATGATGCTACATAGAAGCATCATAGATATTGTATTGTTGCTTTGAGAATCTGCGTTAGCTATTAACAGCTATGAAAATGTATCAAAGCAAATTTAAAATAAAATTTATGACAGTTAACACCAAACTCACTATAATTGTTTTTTACATTTTATATTACTGCCAAAAACGTTGTAAAACACTATAGGAATTTTTGATTGATTTTTAAGACAGATAAAATAAACGCTCTCTATTTATGATATCTTCGTTCTGACTTCTGAAGCATACCCGTTAGTATTCTGATCATTTTTATTACATCTTTATCCTTCAATTAGAACATTTTGCTTTCTGTTAGAAATCTGTGGCAAAGACGAGCAATATTACAAGGAATGCACACCAAGCTGCAAGAATACGTGCAAAGCTTACAACAACCCAGGCATCCGCTGTAGTTGTGGACCACCGGGCTGCTTCTGCAAAAACGGTTTTGTAAAGAGAGAAGACGGCAAATGCGTGCCTCCGAGTGCATGCTGTGAGTGTCGTCCATTACCTTATTTTAATTTATAAATCTAGATTTTTTCTTTCTCATTATAATATTTAATTCACGTAACATATGAATAGTGGATTTTATCTGAAATTTACTTTTTATATTTGGCGTTCCTTTCCGCCATTTTTTTAACGACTTCTCCATGTCAAATTCTATATCATATCAGCTAGTGCCAATTGTGCATTGATTATTAAATAGTTATACCAAGAATCCATCGAATCTTAAATGGAGATAAGTTGGAAATGCACAAGTATTTCTGACATGAACATAGAGCTTGTGCTATATAAATGCCAAATTCAGGATTAAATGTGCGTAGTAGCAAACTAGGAATATCACTTAAAATTCACGTTGTTTTTCTCAATAATCTTAATTTAGAATAAATTGATTACCCATTAAACCAGAATTTAAAATATAAATTCAGCTTAATTTTAGTAAATGGTTTTATTGAAGTGGCTAACTTTAATTTTATACAACTTTGTTGCAACAAAGTTTTTACGAACCTTTTAAACATACCTTTGGCAATCACGAGATTCATCTTATTGATTTGATGAATAAAGAGATGAACAACATAAATATAGAGATCTAAAAGAAGAATGGCCACTTTTGTCAGTCAACAACATAAGGATCTGCAGACTGCTTATCGGTTGAGTTAAGAATCAATGCAAATAATGATAATAAAATTTTAATTATTTGAAAATACAACATGCATTTAGCATTTTTTTAAAAGGAGGAACCTTCCAGTCATTGGAAGTGAGTCTCTGTCGGGAGTTTCATTAATGATTTAATGATGGTCTGCAACTTCTTCACGATAATTTACTTTTAAAAGCTGTTTACCTCATTTCGTCAATACTTGTCTTATCAAGCAAAGAACGCAACTTACATTTGTAGTTGATTTTGAATAAAGTTCTGTCAATTTCGAGGGCGATCAACACAAATCTTTCTCCTTTAGAAGCAAAATCAGTGGACCGATACTGTTCTTATTCCAAAAGCAATAAGTAAATGGAGTAAAGTGATCATGAAGGCAGCGCCCTCTATCAAGGAAAATAATAATGAAACTTGGCAAATAAAGCTATTAGAATTCTGAAAGTAATCCTGAGTAATCTAAAAAGAGAATATTAAAATCCTGAAAGCAATATTCTAGTTTTTAATGTTTTATTACTGTTTTCCTCAATAGATAGCGCTACTTCGTCCTTGTTTTGATTCGTCTATTGCTTTTCGTAAGAAACTGGTCGTCGTCCCTGCCATTTTGCAAAAATGTGTTTGCTCTAGAAGAGAAAAGACTTGCGTCTGATCGCCGAGGAAATAAATATAGTTTTATTCAAAATCTACGTCAAACTGGTGCTGCCTTTTTGCCTAATTTAAAATTTTTCCATTGGCATGTTTGTTTAGTTTTACAAATTTAAATTTCTGAGGACCTATTGCACTTTTATAATGTTTCGTGAATTTTGTGTAAGATTCTCTTTTTGATAACTGAAATCATTCATTTTGGATATATACAGACAACTCCTGACTTCTAGTGAGGACATCTATGTTTAACTTAAAATCAGCGTTTATCCAAGAGCAATTGAAAAAACACAGGAAGGAGAAATAATCCCAAAAATAGTATTATTAATTACTTGCATTTTCAAGCTGCTGAATTTGAAGAATATTAGCAATGTAAATTAAATCAGTACTCAAAACAAAAATGACATATAATAAATAACGGAAGAGTAAACATCGTTAGAAATTTAGAAATGAGAAATCCATCTTATAAAGAAGCATTCATTAAAGAACAATGCTTACAAGATAACTTTCACAATATTATCGAGTTCTGGAGTATTGCATAAAATCATTTACATTGTAATGGAACTCGCATAAAGTATTTTTAGGCCTTTTTATTTTTTTACTTCAAAATCTATGTATTCCAAATTACACATAATTAAATTACGTACTGTTATTGGTAAAAAGATCTCCAAATGCTATGATATCATCTGTTATCTCTACTCTTACTTTCATACACTTTTCCGTTATTTTCATACTTTATAAATAGTTTCGTTTTAAGCTGACTATATCGCGAGAATAATTTTAAGATCATTCTGCAATAAACTGTTTAACAGCTTTTAGAAAGGGACCGTTTAATCCGGTTACTGAGGCTGATTGTATAGGTAAATACATGGCATAATCAGCCTCTCCGAAATGAAAAACCTACGTATAAAACCATAAAAACCTTTTTAAATGTTTTCTTAATAACGTCCTTCTGTTAAATACTGCAGTCGAAGTACAGTTAGAAAAGTAAATGAAACTAATAAACCCGTTAAGTAAAAGCACCCACAGCTGTGTTCATTTGCTTTTGCACTAGTTTCCTCTAATACAAGAATATAAATTCAAATATTATTATTTGGCAATGAACCTAGTAAATATGTTTGCTTTAGTGATAGTACCATACTTTATAAAGATGTCATAGAAATATAATGATCCAGACAATTTTGCTTTATAGTCCAGTGCAAAAAAGGAGAAGAATACCAAACCTGCGGCTCACCTTGTGAAAGAACCTGTGCAAATTATCGTTTTCGCATTGGTATTAAGTGTCCTAAACCTTGTGAACCGGGATGTTTCTGCAAAGATGGTTTAGTCCGAGATTCGAATGGAGAATGTGTCGAAACCGAAGAATGTGGCAAAAGTAAACATTATTTCTATTTGTTATATATTCATAAATTGTTTTTTCTTTACTTCATAACTTTACAAAGGTTCGTTTTTCTTCCCGAAATTTGTGATAAAAATGAAATATATAAGGAATGCGGTACAGTTGCCCTGGAAACTGCACTAACAGGAATCCGATATGCACTGAAGAATGCGTGGAAGGCTGCTTCTGTAGGGAAGGATTTGCGAGATCCACAAATGGCACCTGCGTACCACTGAGTCAATGCCCCTATGGTAATTACACTTAAAGAACATGAACGACATTTTTTACAGAATTCTGAAACGAGACATTATAAAAAATTCTCTAAAAGAATTTTAACTTCAAAAAGTTAAAAAATTTTCCTTCAGTTCGGTTTTTCACAGTAACGCAAAAGCTAAAATTCATTGTTATCTTTATTGTTCTGGAATCACACAATTCTAAGAAATTTTCATTGAATAATTATTGAATTAGGCAAAATTATTGTCGATATTGATGACATATAGTAAGCATTTGATATGACGTCATTAGCTCATAGGCCTTCAATTACTCCTCCCCACAAACTTACTAACCTTCTCCAAGTGGAAGCTTTGAAAAAGTTTATTCTGTATTTTAATTACCTTCAGTCTTATATAATCGCATACATAAATGGCACAGGTATCAGCATGAATGTCGTTGGCTCTCGATTCGTCGTTAATTATACTCCTCATGTTCAACCAGCCTAGAGATTTATTTTCCTACTCTCTATTTTGATCGACACAGCATGTTTTAAAAATAATGGAACGAAATTCAAAGCGGGATATAAAACTAAAAAAAAAGTTTTTATCATAAAATAACCTAGCCGCATATTAGGCATTTGGATGCTGAAAGTGCTTTTTGTTCCCACATATGCCATTTATCGAATCGCAAAGATATAGGACGCCTTTTTAACTCTGTTCCAGAGCCTTTTAGAAACTTCAGATGGGTAAGTTGATTCACAGTTTGCCCTTGAAGCATAAATCCCTTGTGAATAATATTGTACAAAAATCAAATAAACATCCATTCAAGGATTTGGATTTTCTCAGCCTTTTTTTCTAAGAACCATAGTGAGCTGCTTGTGAGCCACATTTTAAGTTGTCGTCTCGTTTCCAAATCATATTGGAAAATCCAGAGTTCCTCAAAAGTTATTAGCAACTGAATTGACTTATTCTATTTCCCGTCGATAGCTACAGTTAGTCACAAAAGTCTGCGTACAGACTAAATTTGAAATTAAAAAAACACTTAAAGCATAGAAAAATGTACTTTAATCATTGCAGTTTTTCTTCTATTAGCTAAAATTGTAAGCTTAAATAAAAAGTAGATAATATCAGTGTAATACTTTTTACAATTTTTCAAAAATATATTTTGTCAAAAAAATCATCCTTCCAATAAGTCTGCGTACACTTTCAAAAAAAGAGCAAAATATAAGTTTTTTAATTACTTCAATACTTTGTAGGATATCCTTTATTCTTCAAAACAGCTTGCCGACGTCTGGGCATTGACTGAACTAGTTTTCAGTGTCATCCGGCGTAAATTTCGTCCATTCTTCCTGCAATTTACTAATTAGCTCATTTCACGACGTAATATTGTGTTTTCGAATTCGTTTCTCCAATTTTGCCCACAAATGTTCGATTGGATTGAGGTCTGGTGACTGTGGAGGAGTACGCAACTGTACTGGAGTGTGATAGAGGAGATATTCCTTCACAATTTTAGCTGTATGTTTCGGGTCGTTGTCTTGCTGGAAAATAAAGGTATTAGAAAGGTTTCAATTTCGGGCACTGCCTCGTAGATGTTTCTTCAGAATATCCAGATAAACATACTTATCCATGACTTTATCAATAATGTGAAAATTTCCAACTCCTTTCGACGACATACACCCCCATGCTATCACAGCCCCAACTCCATGTTTGATAGTTGGATTTAAATTTCTCAGATTCAGTTCTGTTCTTGGTTTTCTCCATACAATAAGGTGGCCATGAACTTTAAATATTGTAAATTTACTGTCATCTGACCAAAATTACATTGTTCCAGAAGTCCTGCGAAGAGTTCAAATGTGTTTTGGCAAAAGCAATTCTTTTCTTTCTATTTGTCTCGGAAATGTATGGCTTAGACCTAGGTTTGCGTCCATGATAATCGGCCTTCCGCAGCACTTTTCGTACAGTTTCAGGAGAAATTTCCTTGTTGCTAGTTAAAAAATGTCTTTTGCAATGCTTGCAGCAGAAAATTTAGGATTTTGTTTAATTCGTAAAAGAGTTTTTCTTTCTTCTATCTGCGTTAGCTTCTTCGGTCTCCCACATCTTGGTTTTACAGCAAGACTACCAGTGTCAAGATAGTTTTGAATAACTCTTTGCACACTAGAAAATGATTTTCCAATGGTTTTACCAATATAACGAAGAGTTTTACCTTCATCTCCCAATTTGATAATTAGTTGTCTCGTAACTAAAGGAATTTCTTTATTGGTTGTCATTTTCGTCAAAGAAAATAGAAATAACAACTTCCAATCAACATGAAATTCGCTTCGGAAGTCAATGACCTTGAAAGTGTAACCTTCTTTGCATTCTCAAGTTTGAAGTTTAAAAGTTAGATAAATCCCCCCGCCTCCTTCGCGTTGTACGCAAATTTTATTGGCTTTGATTTCTGGCCACTTATCTTTTAAAAATTAGTGTGCATAAATTATTAGATATGAAAATATTACAGTTAAATAATTTGAAAGTCCATTATTGAAACTAAATATTTAAAAAATAAAACTTTAAGAAACTACCCTTTTCGCACCTTAAAATTTGGATTTGATGTTACTTTTCTTGATGTACGCAGACTTTATTGACTAACTGTATATATCACAATAAAATTAACACTACACAGATTACAGAAAATAACATATTCTAACTTTCAATACATTTATTTTCCATAGCGACGCTCTGACGCTAGGTTTCTTTCTTACAGCGTAACATATGAATAGCATCTTCGAATGTACAACAAAAATCAAGTTTCTCACAGAATATATTTCAGCGCCAATTCTGGTGGTGCATGCGCTATTAACCAAGATTCTCCTCTGTCGCCAAATATTTCTCAGCTAATACAAAACAGCAACTTTTTAGAAAACTGCTATTATTATGGACTCATTCCAGATGATTTAAACAGGCATTTTTTTTTAAATTTTGTCTCTGTTCGAAGAAATATTTTTGTGCAAGTCTGACGCGCAGACTCCTCGTGTTCAATTTTTAGGTTAAGTTTCGTAAAATAGTTTAAATGTGATTAACAATAGGCACACAACTAACTGTTAATTATCTTTACTGAAAATTAGTGCTCTTTTCGCATAAAACGTTTCGGTTTACTGTTTACGACTTTCGATAACATTTTGAATGTGGAATGTTTCCTAGAGTGGCTGTCATATTTTAATAATTTCAAGGTCTTTTGAATAAAGTCTGTATCATTCGAAACTTGCGCCTTTAATAAAAACCTGTTTGCAAAGGCCTCTTTAAAGGTTTTTCCCGAACTTTCCTCTAAACTTGCAGAAAAAAAAAAAAAAAAAAAAAAAGTTATTCGAAAGTCTGATGTTCTGCTGTCGTGTCAACAGGGCACATTTAAAAATATTTACATTTTACAAAGAAGTGTAACTTGAACTACATGTCAAAACTAGGTGTTGCATTGTAGAGCAAAATTAAATGTTCCGAACTAGAAAACATGAAAAAAATCAACTTTACCTCAACTGGGATTCGAACCACAGATCTTTTAAGCTAGTTGTATCTGTTAACAACTTACGCCAAAACAGCATGCGCGGGAAAATGCAACAGCTCCTTACATTCTATCGTACTTTGAGCGCGACTAGAGAGAGGAATGAGACCCAGTCGATTAAATACAGGTGGTGGTGGTAATGAACATCCACATTTAATTCAGGGATCACTACAGACATTAGACATTTCGAACCAAGAATTAAAAAAAAAGTTATCACAGATACTTGGGCATACGAATCTTTTCAGACATCACAGACATACGAATCTTTTGAGCTAACGAGACCTGCTGATCACTTATACATGAGAGAATACAAGCGTGAGTGTGATAATTCCTTATAACGTAACCTCTTGCATGCTCAACAAAAATTTCTTTTTGCATAATGTCTCTTAATTTTATACTATTTTTTATACATTTTGTTTTTAATTTAGTGGGAGATAAATAAAATATTTTTTTCTAGAAACCTCTAAAATAATGAACGCTTTTGTGTTTTCTTTATGGTATAACTTTTATTTTCCAATGGCACTAGCCGTTATAAACGTCGGCCACCACTAAGATCAAAAGAGGTGGTCACTTTATATGAAGGCACCTAGTAGGTAAAACATCGTTGCCTCGTATGAGAGGACAGACAATTTACATTCATACCTTCTCTGGGAATCGAACCTGGACCCCTTGGTACGGTAGTCTAAGTCACTAGCCACTTTCACTTCTGGGCAAACGGCATAAAGTAAATATGAAATTTCTTTAGAAATTCTTCACGAAAGCATCTATCGCCTCAAATAACATCCGCGTAACTTTTATTGGAATTAGCCAACCATTCAACCAGTCTAAAAGCAGAATCTACATCGTTTTCATGGGCTTGTACATAAAAAAATGTCATTCTTCCTGGTTTGCTGATTTTTAGAGAATATTTAAATGTTATAAAACATAATTTATTTTTTAATAAATGAAAACACATATTTATATTTTATGTTCATAAATTTGCATTACAACGCTAAAACTTTTTGTAAACTTGCGATTTTTGCACAATATTAATATTGTAATTTTACAAAGAGTGTGTATACATTTTTAGAACGATTTGGACAAAGAATTAAAAAGAGCAGATCTTTTAGAATAAAAATTTCTGGCACTAGCTATTATTTGAAGTGATAAATATCGTCTGTTATTTTTAAAGTTATTCTTTTTTCAAAATGTCGCATCTACGCAAGCTGTGGATTGCAGGATAAGTCTTTTTGTTTTCCCAAGAGAAATATTCCTATTCTATAATTCAACAACGTTATGAAATGCATGGTATTAAAATTGTTAAGTGCAAATAACTGAACAATACTAATCAAAAAGGGAAAAATCATCAATCATTACTTCTACTTGGGGAAAAAAAAAGACTCCAAATCAATGCTTGAAAACAGTACGCATTGTTTCAAATGTTTGTAAAATTCAATTGTTGGTGACCAAAAAAAAATCGTAATTGCAAAGCCTTTAAGTATATCTGTAGCAAATGAACTAATAAAGCAAGATTTACAACTTCAAAAAAGATAAACATAGTGTTCACCAGCTTTTGCTGATGCATGTGACTCAACGCAGAACAATTTGTAAGGACCTGAATAAAAACTATTTAACAGTAGATAAATAGAAATACATTGTGATACTTGATGAAGCGTGGGTTTTGCTTAAATAACTGCTACATAAAAACGTCTGTTTCCTATTAAAAAAAAAAAGAGAAATATTGTACAAACCTGGTTCCGTCAACGCAAATAAATTTTCAGTAAGGAGTTCATGATTGTTGCAGGATTCTCTTGCACTGTTACATTCAAACTAAGAAGCGTTGAAAAAAATGTAGTATCAACTCAATATAGTATCAAGAGAACTTTTTGCATCCGGTATTTACAGAAGAAATTCCATTTCTCTAAGACCATACTTCGAAAAGTAATACTGATATTGTATGTATGTATCACTTTTCACCTTATTCCTGGAAAGTTTTCTGGCGTCTCACTTATGGACTATTGTGCCTTTGCTCTCTTGAAAAGAACCTTCTCCAAGGGCATATTCACCACGATTGCTGGAAGCTTGGAAAGTAATGGAAATCAATACCCCTGAAAATTTTGCATAAAGTTTTTCTGTCATGGAAATAACGATTCAGATTTATAATCGAGAAAATAGGCTATAAGATCCAGCATCTAAAATATACTCATTACATTTTAAATATTAACTGAAGGGTCCCGAAATTGTTCTAAAATGTATAAGTACCCTCTGTATGTAGCAATATCTCCTCTGCTTAAACTTCGATTTCATTACTTTTTTAATTCTTTAAAAATATATCGCAATTTATGGAAAATGCTTACTTTTAGAAATCTGTCCACCGTTTGAAAAGTACAGCAACTGCGTAATTCCTTGCAATAATTGCAAACTGAAAGGCATGTGTTCATTCTTGGGTTGCGAAGAAGGTTGTGACTGCATTGACGGTTTCTTCAGAGACGAAAGTGGCAGATGCATTCCTGAAGCTTTATGTTCACTTCCAAGTAAGTTTTGGCTTTCGTGTTTTAGTAATTAATCAAAGAGGTGCTATTGTTTTTAGCGAGTGATAAAATACTTTTCACTGTAAATAAGTATTCGCGTTTTCAAGGAAATCTTAATTTCAAACATTATACACATTTGTTTTCTCTTGAAGAAGAAGGGACTCGTATAACGTTCTTAAAACCGACAGAATTATTCAAACTCTACGCCAAATCAAATTTGCTTTTTGAGTACTTTAAAATCAAGTATTTTAATTTTAATAATATATTTTGATTTTAAAGCTGTTTGGGGACTTAATCCGCTATTTTGTCGGCATTTCTGCACTATTTGGAAATTTTTGTAACTTATTTTGAGTCTATTTGGCGATTTTTAAATTAAAAAATTTTTTTTTAATTTATTCCATAGCATTTTGATCTTATTAACCGAATTTTTTATCCCAACAAGTGATGTATTCCACATAGTTTTGTACATAACGGGCGGAACTTCTGCTTTTCGATAACAATATCCAAATGATACCATTAATCGCAAGCCCGTAAGGTGGCTTCCACTGTATATTTCTTTTAAAATTCGTCAAACGATAATGCATTTAAAAATATTTTAATACTTTTTTTTTTTTTTTCATTTTTCATCCAAAAATGAGGCGCAGAACGAAAGACAAATGTTTGAAACTCGAAATATCTTCTGAGTTGACTTTTATCATTAAGCATTTAGTTATATGAGCTGATAACAATGGGTATTATAATTTATTTATGAATATCGATGAAATATTTGTCTGATTTTTTATATTTTTAAATTATTGTGTTAGAGAACTTTAAGAGCTATGTATCTAATTTTGCATATACCTATACAGATTGTGGGGTTCCACCCTTTTATCTAACAACTAATTGTGGAGGAACCTAATGAACAGCTAAGCGAATAATCGCTTTAGTTCAGGAAGAAAGACGTAAACTCGAGAAGGGCCAATTACTCCTTATTTGTTCAAAATAAAGAGTTTAACAGGTGGCCCCTTTCTCAGGGCCTACAGCAAAGCCTCCACTTGAGCTTGAACTCAAAGTAATAAGAAATAAGACTTAACTAATGCTTAACTAAAACGATATATCCGAAGCTATCGAAATTCTAAGTAGTTGGCCCCTAAATGTCGAATAAGCTAGTAATACCTGTAATACGGCCGAGCTTAGTAACAGCTTAAAAAGACTTAGCCAAAAGGCAAACGTTCGCTAATCAGAAACTCTGAAGCTCTCTCTTGAAGTCAATGGAACTTCGATTTAAATACTACTCTTACTCTTCTGCATTAAACGCTATTCGAAAAACACATTCTGGTAGGAAATTGTCAGCTGAAATTAGGAAGGACAAGAAAATAGCTTTAACTAAAGCTTAAAAAGGTTTATTCTAAGTTTCTAACTTAGTATATTACTAATTTAGAAACTTAGAACTACTAACTAAGTAATTATTTAGAACTATTGAAACCCTAAGCAGATGGTGATTTTTATTTCGATAATGATGAATAAGATCTTTAATAAAACACAATAATAAATAAATAAATGAAAATATATTAAATCTAAATTTAGTGAGACTACATAATAATACCTTTCATTCAGCCCCCAAAAACCGTTTTGTTATTTCTCGATGCTGGAGTAAAATTATATCTTCTCTTACTTGAGTTTTGTAGCTGAGAAAGGGTGAAGTCGGAATTATACGCTCAGTGGAAAGATTACCCATGACCTAATTTGCTGCAATTGGTTTGTTTTAAAAACAAATCACACAAGCATGAACTATCTTAAGAGCCAATCCTTTGCCATGAATGGGCCAATATTTCAAACGCACCTTATGAAGTAAACCCTGCCCTGCACTCCACTATGTATGTACTTCTTATAAAAATACTGAAAAATCAGTTCGGTAACTCTATGAGTAGGAAGCAAAATTAACTGGTGTTTGCAATCAAATAATAAGTTTGATATTTTTAATCTTCCTCCAACTCTTAAAAGAGAATTCTCATCTAGAAAAGGGTAAAGACCTTATAACTTACTTTGTGCAGAAATAGGTTAACCTCGTCGAAGAGCTGTAATTTCCGAATTAAAGGCAGTTAATTGGGCATGCCGTATAAGCAATCAGATTTTATTGCAGTATTGTAATCGCTAAGAATTTCGAGTATCATGGTTCAACGAAAATATCCGTTTTGACCGCTCTCGAATCCATTTGAATCATTCCACTTTTTCTTGCGTTGCATCTGTACGTACGGACAGAATAAAGAACTCCTTTTCCCAAAACGGATTGTAAAATGGATTCAGAAGAGATATTTTTCGTGAAGTTTGTAGGTACGTACGTACGTATGTATCTCGTACAACTCAAAAATCAGTAGCCTTAGAACTTTGAAATTCTGCATATATGACTGCTAATGTAGTTGTGTACCTCCCTTTTCGGTTGCAATCGGCCGCACCAAACATAGATGTGTATACATATATACCTACTTATATATATATATATATATACAATACGCAGTCTGTTGCCCGGCTTGGTAAGCTCAATTTTTTATTCTTAAATGTTGGTCTCTCCGAGACCTAAGGTGAGACGAACGCCCGGTGTCCTAGTTCAGCCTTGGGGGCTTAAAATTGAGGTCTTATGTAAAAGGAGGTCTGCGCAGTGGAATTGAGGCCCCGTGCCTAGTAAGCAAGTTGTTAAATATCCCTTTTTGAGGTTCCTATGGACAATGTTCGGCCCTCCCGCCTAAATACGGAGAATGTTTTGGGGTTGTCACCTTAGTTGCATTTGGTTACAGAAAAGGTTAAGCAAAACTGTCTTATTTGTTGGTAAATTGTGAATTTTTTGCTTTAAAAGCGAATTATGTTGCTCTTAGGTTCCGCCTAAGGATTTTATGCCTTTATGCAGTACTTGTAGAAATATCAACATTTTAAAAGTTGAAATGGTACAAAGCGTAATCAGGCCGCCATTTGTTTACATTTGAAACTCTTTGTAGAATGATGAATTAAGATGGCGCAATAACGTCAGTGTCTTTTTTTTGCCCAGTGTGATCGAAAGCTAATCATTTTTGTGCATTGAAAATTTGGTCTTCTTCCCCGTTGGTCGATTTACTTCTTTTGGTTATAAAAACTTTAATTTTACTAGGAAATGTTTTTAAAAAATTGTTTTTAACTGAATTTGATGTTTTAGGTTTTTCTGTATTTTACAATTTTTAATAAAGCTGTTTTGAGTTTTATGCATTTTTTCCTTGTCGCGAAAGGTGAACTGAACTGATCGAATTAGAAAAGTATTTCTAATGAAATTAGAGAAAATAAATTTAAATGACGTGCAGTCAGAAAATGTGTACAACTTAATAGGCCGTACCAAAATGTTTACTGCTATATTTACTACAGTTATTTAAACCTATTTCCTCGCATTTCATTAGAGATATATTTCTCATTCAATTAATTCAGTTCTCACTTCGCGACAAGAAAAAATAAATAAAAACTCAAAACAGCTTCATGAAAAATTGTACACTACTGAAAACCATAAATGACCAAATACAATTAAAAGCAATTTTTGCAATTAAAATTAGAATTTCTACCCCAGAACAAGCAATTCAGTCAGCGGGCAGGAAGAGAGATTCTTCGGTACACAGAATTGAAAGTTTACGTTTGGTTCCACTCGGCAAAAAGACACTCAAGTTGGTGTGCAAACTGAATTCAGTATTCTACTAAGAGTTTCAAATGTAAACAAATGGCAGTCTCCTTAGGCATAGCAACACTTTAACTTTTAAATTGCTGATAATTCTACAACTAATGCATTCAGTTTAACTAAAGCATAAAAAACTTAGCCGAGAACGTAAGAGAACCAAAATTGAATTACTTTAAAATAATGCGCCATTTGCCATCATATAGCAATAAAATAACTGAGCTGACCAACCGGGAAACAGAGTGGATAGCTTTTGTACATAATTTTTGGTCTCTTTTGAGTACGAATGCAAGTAGGGAAATGCCTGAACATTTGAAAACTAATTTAGAGTGAAAATTTGGTACAAAAAAGCGGTCTTGAATCGCAGATGATTCAGAGAAACGACTCATATTAATTTTCTGTTAAATATTACGTTTTTGAAAGTTTCATTAGTTTACGTTTACTCATTTTGGTAATTTTTTACCCAGAGAAGATAGATTAAACCTTCATATGAAGGAACAAAATTTTATTCAATTTCGTTCCGAAATTTACATTTTGATTTATATATATATATATATATATATATATATATATAGATTTATATATATATATATGTAGATATATGCATACGTCTGGTGCGGCGGATTGCATTGAAAAAGGATTTTGCACAACTATATGTTAATGCAGTCCCATATACAAAATTTCAACGTTCTAAGGTTATTCGTTTTTGAGTGTTGCAGGTATGTGAATACAGACAAAGTAGTTCAAGAGACTAGTTGTCACGAAAAAAATCACTACCGAATCCATTTTACAATTCATCTTTGAAAAGAGAACTTTATTCTGTCCATATGTACGAATTTCACGCAGAAACATCGTTCAAATGGATTCAAGAGAGGTCAAAATGTATATTTTCGTTGAAATATGAACACCCGAAATTTTTCGCGATTTCATTACTTCATTTACTTCGTACAAGGAAGTTAAAAGTTTGTTTAAATATTAGTCTTTTGCGATGAATTTAATAAATATTTTATCATCATAATTTATATAAGACGAGTATAATATTAATAATAAATAAATAACATAACAGTTGTTTTATTTTACAGTTCAATGCAAGAAAGGGGAAGAATACCAAATCTGTGGATCACCTTGTGAAAGAACTTGTGCAAATTATCGCTTTCACATTGGCATTATATGCCCCAAATCTTGTGAACCAGGATGTTTCTGCAAGGACGGTTTAGTTCGTGATTCGAATGGAAATTGTGTAGATCCTAAAGAATGCAGCAAAAGTAAAATCATATTAGTTTTTTTAGTGAATTCTTTTTTTTTTCGTCTTAGAATTTCATAAACAATTGTCTCTTTACTTGCAGTCTGTGGCAGATATGAAGAATATAAAGAATGTGGTACAGCATGTCCTGCAAACTGCACTAATAGAAATCCAATATGTACAAAACAATGTGTTAAGGGCTGCTTTTGCAAGAAAAGCTTCCTGAGATCAGAAAATGGCACTTGTATACCATCGAATCAATGTCCAAAACGTAAGTTGATAAGCGCCATTTTTTGCAATATTCTGGAAAGGAAATACTACCAGAAATAAGAATTTTTAAACATTCTTCAGTAGTTCAAGAGACTAGTTGTCAGAGTAGTTGCTAGTTCGTGAATACTTGATTAAATTACCGTCAGTTTGTCAACAGTACAGGTTTTTTACAACAAATTACTTAAATAGACACAGGATGGAAATGCGTAAATGTTTCTGAGATGACTATGCTACTGAAAAGGGAAATTCAGGATTAAACCTCTGAAAAATCAAACTAGGAGTATAATTAATAAATTACGCTAAATGTTTGAAAATAATTTGTTTGGAAATAAATATGAAACGAAAGAAGCTAACAGGCTGAGTTCTACACTTTTGCATCTAATGGTTCTGTGAGACTAAAGGTGCATCCAAGAGATAATAAGAGGTTTTGTTAACAATAACAACATTTATTTACAGGAAAATATACGAAAATTTCAATCAATTAGAGATATATTATTAGGCATCTCTGTCTTCCACGTCTTACACCTTTAGTATCCTGCCTGCCACTGACTATTAGGACGAACGCAGCGCCCTCTAGTCAGAATGACTCCGTAAATACGTAATATACGCTACCAAAATGCCTGGATGTGCTGCTTGAGCTTTCAAACGAGGTAAAAGGCTCTAATCTCTTGGTCGCGCATTTGTTCAAAATTAGGGACTAATGAGGTGCTGTCTAACATAAGAATCCGTTTCTGTTTGTCAGATGTTTGGCTTTCAGACCGTTTTTCATTGAAGCACTAAAAGCTTTAATAAAAATCAGACCTTAAGCATTGCCCTATTTATCCATGCATGCGGCTGTCTTTATAACCATATAGATTTGCTCCTTTTATTTACGTACCTTTTTTACTATTAAACGTGTAAAGACCTTTCACGTTCCCTACCAACATTAGTTTTAGTTTATGTTCGTCTGCTGCATTGGTGTTCTGCCAGTATCTGAAACTTTCCTTTATATCTTATATTGCCTAAAAATTCAAAGTTACAAGCGTTCTTGAGGCTAATATCCGAAACGCCAAGAACAATTTAATTGGAAAAGCTGTAAGCCTACGTACTTTATCGTGGCAAGGGAAACAAGATTACGTCTGTCGTTGGCAACAACCTTGTGCACCATATAGGTGGCAATACGGTTTTACCCAGTTTCACTCCAATGTTTAGAGACAGCACCCCGGAGATTGGGTCCGAGTGGCTACAACCTCTTTTTCTCTCCCACCACACCACACGAAAGGGCTTTCGGCTGGCCATATATTTAGAGTGCCCCCCATGCCACCAGAAACACCATACATTTACAAACAACCACTCCTTCTCCGGGAGTCAAACCGACCCCTTCGGCTGAGTAGTCAAAATCACTAACGAATATCCCATCTGGACGGCATTTGTGAATGTACAAATATGTTCTTAAATGTACAAATCTTTTCTGCGTTAAAGGCAAACTTTTCTCTACAAAATGCCTAGTTGTCAAGAAAAGAGGTTGTAAAATTTTAGGGATAATTTTCATGAAAAATTAGGCCTTTAATTTACGGTTCTAGGCTCTTACCCAATTAAACCATATAATTATATCTAATTTTTTAGTCTGGTTAATTTTTAATAGGCAGTATTTTTCATACTTTTTCTTTCCTTTAAAATATCTTTGCAAGCTCTGTGTACACAGTCCTGCTTAATGCTTCTGATTCTTGTTTTTCTACCCTCTGGTATTGAGTTTACCTCATAAAATGCTCACAACTTTATTTATCTGTCTCTTTCCAACCTTTTTAGTACAGCTTATTACATATTCATTATGATATTAAAGTCAATTACCGACTAACCTATTCTAAAAATGAGAGAAAAAAAACACCTAGGTATTAGTGATTAGAAAAATCATCCAAGCATTAGTGATCTGCTCATGAGGAATCTGAGGATGAATATTTCGATGTGTATCTTGATACTGATGATGCTACATAGAAGCATCGTAGATATTGTATTGTTGCTTTGAGAATCTGCGTTAGCTATTAACAGCTATGAAAATGTATCAAAGCAAATTTAAAATAAAATTTATGACAGTTAACACCAAAACTCACTATAATTGTTTTTTACATTTTATATTACTGCCAAAAACGTTGTAAAAACACTATAGGAATTTTTGATTGATTTTTAAGACAGATAAAATAAAACGCTCTCTATTTATGATATCTTCGTTCTGACTTCTGAAGCATACCCGTTAGTATTCTGATCATTTTTATTACATCTTTATCCTTCAATTAGAACATTTTGCTTTCTGTTAGAAATCTGTGGCAAAGACGAGCAATATTACAAGGAATGCACACCAAGCTGCAAGAATACGTGCAAAGCTTACAACAACCCAGGCATCCGCTGTAGTTGTGGACCACCGGGCTGCTTCTGCAAAAACGGTCTTGTAAAGAGAGAAGACGGCAAATGCGTGCCTCCGAGTGCATGCTGTGAGTGTAGTCCATTACCTTCTTTTAATTTATAAATCTAGAGTTTTTCTTTCTCATTATAATATTTAATTCACGTAATATATGAATAGTGGATTTTATCTGAAATTTACTTTTTATATTTGGCATTCCTTTTCGCCAATTTTTTAACGACTTCTCCAGTGTTGAGAAATTTTGTATCTTATCAGCTAGTGCCAATTGTGCATCGATTATTAAATAATTATACCAAGAGTCCATCGAATCTTAAATGGAGATAAGTTGGAAATGCACAAGTATTTCTGAGATGAACATAGAGCTTGTGCTATATAAATGCCGAATTCAGGATTAAATGTGCGGAGTAGCAAACTAGGAATATTGCTTAAAATTTATGTTATTTTTCTCAATAATCTTAAGTTTAGAATAAATTGATTACCCATTAAACCAGAATTTAATATATAAATTCAGCTTAATCTTAGTAAATGTTAGAAACTCAAATAAATTTGAGTTTCTAACTTTACTTTTATACAACTTTGTAGCAACTAAGTTTTTACGAACAATTTAAAGAGACCTTTGGCAACCACGAGGTTCATCTTATTGATTTGATGAATTAAGAGATGAACAACATAAATATAGAGATCTAAAACAAAAATGCCCACTTTTTTCTGTCAGCAATATAAGGGTCTGCAGACTTCTTATCGGGTCAGTTAAAATTCAATCCAAATAATAATCATAAAATTTTAATTGTTTGAAAATACAGCATGCATTTAGCATTGTTTTAAAAGGTGGAACCTTCTAGTCGTTGGAAGTGAGTCTCTGTCGGGAGTTTCTTTATTCATTTAATGATGGTCTGCAACTTCTTCACGATAATATATTTTTAAAAGCTATTTACCTCATTTCACCAAAGCTTGTCTTATCAGGCAAAGAACGCAGCTTGCATTTGTAGTTGATTTTGAATAAAGTTCTTTCGATTTCGAGGGCGATCAACATCTTCTTTAGAAGCAAAACAAGTTTTGCAAAATCAATGTTTCGATACTGTTCTTATTCCAAAAGCAATAAGTAAATGGAGAAAAGCGATCATGTAAGCAGCGCTATCTAGCAAGGAAAATAATAATGAAACTTGCAAATAAGGCAATTAGAATTCTAAAAGTAATTCTGAGTAATCTATAAAAGAGAATATTAAAATCCTGAAAGCAATATCTTAATTTTAACGTTTTATTACTGTTTTCCTCAATTGATAGCGTTACGTCGGCCCCGTTTTGAATCGTCTATTTCTTTTCGTAAGAAAATGGTTGTCGTTCCTGTCATTTTGCAAAAATGTGTTTACTCTAGAAGAAGAGAGACTTGCGTCTGATCTCCGTGGAAATAGAGTTTTATTCAAAATCTACGTCAGACTAATGTTGCCCTTTTGCCTAATTTTAAATTTTCTCATTGGCATGTTTCTTTAGTTTTACAAATTTGAATTTCTAAGGACCTATGGCACTGTTATAATGTTTCGTGAATTTTGTGTAAGATTCTCTTTTTGAGAACTGAAATTATTCATTTTGGATATATATCGCCATAATATTAGTCAAGACCTGTCGTAATTTGGTGAAGGTTTGAATCTGATTTTAAGTTTCCTTTTAGTATATACAGACAACTCCTGACTTCTAGTGTGGACATCTATGTTTAACTTAAAATCAGTATTTATCCAAGAGCAATTGAAAAAACACAGGAAGGAGAAATAATCCAAAAAAATGGTATTATTAATTGCATTTTCAAGGTGCTGAATTTGAAGAATATGAGCAATGTACATTAAATCAGCATTCAAAACAATAATGACATATAATAAATAACGGAAGAGTAAACATCATTAGAAATTTAGAAATGAGTAATCTATCTTATAAAGAAGCATTCATTAAAGAACAATGCATACAAGAGAACTTTCACAATATTATCGAGTTCTGGAGTATTGCATAAAATCATTTACATCGTCATGGAGCTCCCATAAATTATTTCTAGGCCTTTTTATTTTTTTACTGCAAAATATCTAGGCATTCCATATTACACATAATTAGATTACGTACTGTTATTGGTAAAACGATCTCCAAATCCTATGATATCATTTGTTATCTACTCTTTCATACAATTTTCCTTTCCTTTTTATACATTTTAAACAGTTTCGTTTTAAGCTGACTATTTCGCGTGAATAATTTTGAGATCATTCTGCAATAAACTGTTTAACAGCTTTAAGATAGGGACCGTTTAATCCAGTAAATGAGGCTGATTGTATAGATAAATACATGGCATAATCATAACACATGGCATAATCAGCATACATAATCAGCTTCTCCGAAATGAAGAACCTACGAATAAAACCATAAAACCTTTTTTAAATGATTTCTTAATAATGTCCTTCTGTTAAATACTGCAGTCGAAGTACAGTTAGAAAGGTAAATGAAACTAATAAACCGCTTAATTAAATTCACCCACAATTGTGTTCATTTGCTTTTGAACTAGTTTTCTCTAATACAAGAATATAGATTCAAATATTATTATTTGGAAATTATCCTAGTAAATATGTTTGCTTTACTGATAGGACCATACTTTATAAAGATGTCATAGAAATATAATGATCCAGACAATTTTGCTTTACAGTCCAGTGCAAAAAAGGAGAAGAATACCAAACCTGCGGCTCACCTTGTGAAAGAACCTGTGCAAATTATCGTTTCCGCATTGGTATTAAGTGTCCTATACCTTGTGAACCGGGATGTTTCTGCAAAGATGGTTTAGTCCGAGATTCGAATGGAGAATGTGTCGAAACCGAAGAATGTGGCAAAAGTAAATATTATTTCTATTTGTTATATATTCATAAACAGTCTTTCTTTACTTCAGAACTTTACAAAGGTTTGTTTTTCTTCCAGAAATTTGCGGTAAAAATGAAATATATAAGGAATGCGGTACAGCTTGTCCTGCAAACTGCACTAACAGGAATCCGATATGCACTGAAAAATGCGTGGAAGGCTGCTTCTGTATGGAAGGATTTGTGAGATCCACAAATGGCACCTGCGTACCACTGAGTCAATGTCCCTATGGTAATTACACTTAAAGAACATGAACGACATTTTTTACAGAATTCTGAAACGAGACATTATTAAAAATTCTCTGAAAGAATTTTAACTTCAAAAAGTTAAAAAATTTTCCTTCAGTTCGGTTTTTCACAGTAACGAAAAGCTAAAATTCATTGTTATCTTTATTGTTCTGGAATCACACAAATCTAAGAAATTTTCATTGAATAATTATTGAATTACGCAAAATTACTGTCGATACTGATGACACATAGTAAGCATTTGATATGATGTCATTAGCTCATAAACCTTCAATTACTCTTCCCCAGAAACTTACTAATCTTCTCCAAGTGATCAGTTTTGAAATGGTTTATTCTGGATTCTAATTACCTTCAGTCTTATATAATCGCATAAATAATTGGTACAGGTATCAGCATGAATGTCGTTGGCTCTCGATTCGTCGTTAGCCTAGAGATTTATTTTCCTACTAGCTATTTTGATCGACACAGCATGCTTTAAAAATAATGGAACGAATTTTCAAGGGGGATATAAAACTCAAAATCAAATTTTTATCATAGAATAACCTAGCCGCATATTAGGTATTTGGATGCTGAAAGTGCTTTTCGTTCCCACATATGACATTTATCGAAGCGTAGAGATATAGGACCCATTTTTAAATCTGTTCCTGAGCCTATCAGAAACTTCAAATTGGTAAGTTGATTCACAGTTTGCCCTTGAAGCATAAATCTCTTGTGAATAATATTGTATAAAAATCAAATAAACATCCATTCAGGGATTTGGATTTTCTCAGCTTATTTTTCTAAGAACCACAGTGAGCTGCTTGTGAGCCACATTTTAAGTTGTCGTCTCGTTTCTAGATCATATTGGAAAATCAAGGGTTAGTCAAAATTTATTAGCTCCTTTTTATTAAACTGTTATCATTATGGACTCACTCCAGATGATTTAAACAGGCATTTTGTTGATTTTGTCTCTGCTCGTAGAGATATTTACGTACAAGTCTGACGCGCAGACTCCTCGTGTTCAATTTTTAGGTTAAGTTTCGTAAAATAGTTTAAATGTGATTAACAATAGGCACACAACTCACTGTTAATTATCTTTACTGAAAATTAGTGCTCTTTTCGCATAAAACTTTTCGGTTTACTGTTTACTACTTTCGGTAACATTTTGAAGGTGGAAGGTTTTCTAGAGGGTTCTCATATTTTAATAATTTCAAGGTCTTTTGAATAGAATTTGTATCATTTGTCCTCGGGCACTCGGACTCATAGTCCTCAAGAATTTCGCGTAAGAACTGATCCTCTGATTATTTTTACGTTGTTCAAAGCAGTGCAGATAAGTCATGAGGTGTCCATACTCTGTTATAAATTGAGCAATGTGAAGTGAGTCACATCTTAAAAAGCTGGTGTGCGTCTGAGCGTGTAGGGAAATCTGTCAACTCTTTTAAGAGTGCACTCTGTTTTTCATTGATGCTTTTATGAATAAAGCATGGCTCAAATCCTGGGGACGGTGTTGTTGATTTTTCATGTTCCAAAAGGTTTAATAGTCTCTAGAATGGGTCTCGAACTAAAATGTGATGGGTGGTAGCTGATCACTACTTGGGTTTAGTAGATTCGGATTCATATCTCTTCTGAGCACTCTTAAATAGGAAAAAAAGTGAGGAATTCAAGAAGTGATGAGTTTATCATCCACCACACTTCGGGATATGTTGTAGAGACTACTAAATTGTTTAGAGCATGAAACATGAAAAGTCAGCTGTGCCTTCGCCGGGATTTAAATCTTGGATGGTTCCAAATGGATCTTTCATTGCAACATTTATGGAAAATAAAGTTTAGTAGTTTAAAGACTCGTCAGAGTTTTAATTTTTAAAGACTTGTCAGATTCCCCCCCCCAAAACAAGCCACCTTTTCATGAAATGACTCACCTCACCTTTCTTAATTTCTAACAGAGCATAGGCCCTTCATGACTTATCTGCACCGCTTTGAACGACGTGAAAACGATCAGTGCTTATGCAAAGTGGCCAAGAACCAAGTCCCTTATGCTCTTTCGAAGCGCAAGTGCACACCCATTCGGCACTGGATGATTCATGGTTTAAATTCACACCTGACCTTTTGCTTTTATGTTCCAGACAGTCTAATAGTGTGTACGGCTGCAACCGAATAAAAATGTTGCGAATGATAATTCTTCACACCCTGGATTTGTTCGACTGGGATTCGTGGGAAGAATCCCGGAAATGCCGTAAGGTTTATGTTCCAAACAATCTCTGCAGTTACCCCTGAATTAAAATCTGCAAGGGTGATAACTTCAGGCTTTGAATCAATTAGGTCTTGTGCCTATCCTTAGCAGTCGCTCTTTAATGGGAAGACTAAAGAATTATCATGTCTTTTCTTACGTGGAACGAGTTGTAGCACGTCCTGCTAACTATTGGCTGATCTGTAGTTGAAATCGCAATGATAGCACAGTTTATTTTTTACAAAACTTTCAAAAGTTATTACAGTTTTACAAATTCACCAAATGACTGATAAAAAATGATACAAGAAATTATGTGGTCAAAACTTCTCTTTCTAAATCTGAAATTCCTAAACATCGTCTCATCAGTCACACATACTTTTCGCTGAATTAACCTTTTAACAGTATCTAAATCTAAAATGTGTTAATTGTTTATATGCATTACAAAGAGTTTATTATGAAAAATACTATTATTTTTCATTTAATAAATTAATTATTTCAGAAATATGCGGGCCATTTGAAAGGTATAGTACCTGTGTCAATCCTTGCAATGACTGTGAAATTAAAGGCAACTGCCAATTCCTTGTATGCAACGAGGGCTGCGATTGTATTGAAGGCTTTCATAGAGACAAGAATGGTAACTGCATCCCAGCTTCTGAATGTCCTACAGAAGGTAACTATATCATAATGTGTTGCAATAGTATTACATTATGTTATTGTTTATGCACCCATAGTGTGTTCATAAAATTTGCAGACAACTACTTGAAATGCACCGCGATACGAAAGGTTGAGCAGATTACTCTTATTGATAGAAGTGGTTAAAACTACGAAATGTTTGTTGTTTGTGATTTGCTTTTTAAGCTGCACTCGTCCAAGTTACTACACTAAAGTAACTTGGGTTATGTTAAACTTAACTTGGTTACTTAGTTTACTTACTTAACCTGGTAACTTGGCTTATTGAATTATATTAATTGCTCAAAGACTTCAAGGGAGTAAAAATAATTTAGAAGGAGATATGATTTCTTTATGTCATGTACCAATTTTCATATCTCAAAAATATAATATACGTCAGCATAGGATGTATGTATAGGAAGTTGACGTAGTGGTTAGCAGCGATGACTGCAATACCATTGGATCCGGTTTCAACTATCGGATAAGGTATGTAAATCTACAGTGGCTTTGAGTTATGAGGGTACTTATAATATTCTGAGTCGAACGTCCCTTCGAGAAGTTTGTGGTAGGGCAAATAGTGTAAGAGACTTTTAGTTGCGTTCCTCGGTGCTGATATAACTGTACAAACGCTATCATCTATGAGATGCTGATAGGCGCTGTCCTCTGCCGCTTCACCACGATGAGTTTGTGAAGAATTAGTCAAAACACAACAGATACGGAATTAAGATGCTATTGGAAATCACATACATCACTGGGACATTATCTGTTCTAAAATTTTGCAGTGTGGACGAAAAGATAAACTTTGTATATATACACTGCTTTTTTTTTTTTTTTGAAATATAACATCAATTGACTGTCAGATAAAGTCACGAGCTTTATCAGACTCTCTAAGTTTTATCTTGGAGTCCATCATATACTAGATCAGAATTTCTTAAGTAGGCCTCGAGGTCATCATAGGAGGTTCGGAACTATCTTAATGTTTTCATTAAATATAGCTGAGTGCATTGTGATGCAAATGCAGTAAAAGTCGCGCTCATCAAACTTTCAGAAACCATGGTAACTCGAAAATGTATATAATGGCACAATGTTTTAATTTATGACATCCCTATACAATCGCAGCACAAGTAATGTGCTGCGGTTTATGTTCTTAGCTTTTAAAATCGTTTGTTTAGTGCAAAAGATGAATATGAATTATTCCCAAAGGATTTAGTTTATAAGATCGAGCATTACTTCGTAAAGGATTTTAACGAAAAGATTCTTAAAGCATTTAAAACGACCTTCCAAAATATAACCTAATAAAGCAGTTATTTTCCTTTACCCTTATTTTGAGAACGTGGAAGCATTCACCATAGGAAAAAATTCGAGGATGTCCATACGTTACACGTAATTGCGCTGTCACATTCCTCTGATTCGTCTTGGTTACAACCATTTGTTTTCCCCCGACTTCCTACATTTTTATACGAACTCGGAAGAGACAAGCAGCAACTTATACTCTTTATGGCAAATTTGACTTGCGATAGTCTCAAAAATGTCGATAATGATTCCTGTGATAGTAAGCCGTAAAAATATCTTAATAAAAATGCAACTATTATTGTTTTAATTCAAATGTGACATCAGATAGCTTCCTAATATATCCAAATACACTCATGTCCATAAATTAAGGATAATGCAAAATCAGGCAAAGGAAGAGTTAGAAGCAAAACAAATTTCACTTATTTGTAAAGCTTATTTATTAAACAAAAGGTACAGAGCAAAAAAAGATGCTATATATTTGATATTATTAAAAAATTAGCGATTTTTTCTCCCTGGAGCAAATTACAAAAAAGGCCTACTTACAAAAAAACAATATTACATGGTTGGTATGATTGTTAATACATTGCATGTCTCCCAGACGATGCAATACAGTCCTTACAACGCCTAGGCATGCTGAGTATCAAATTATCAATCTGATCTTGGTGGCTATTACACCACTCAAAAAGCAATGCTCTCCGAAGTTCAGGTAGACATGTAGGAGGAGGTTGACGGGCTGCAACTCGTCGACCAAGCATATCCCACACGTGCTCTACTGGATTCAAGTCCGGTGAGAATGCTGGGCCAGTCCATACAGATGATATCCTCCGATTGAAGGCATTCGCTTACTATGTTTGCAAGGTGAGGACGGGCGTTGTCATCCATAAACACAAATTATGCGCCCATGGCGCCCCGAAACAAACGTACATGTTGTTCTAGAATGACGTCCCGATAGATTTGGCTTGTCATGGTTCCAATTTGAAAGTGCAGGTCAGTTCTGGAAGCCAGAATAATTCCACCCCAAACGAGCACTCCTGCACCACCGTAACGGTGTCGCAATGATGTTTTCTTGGTGGTAACGGGTACCTGGAGCTCTCTATATGAAAGTCCGGCGAGAATCAGACTGCAAGCTAAACCTGGACTCGTCGGAAAACATCACACAAGCCCACTGTTGCGGTATCCACAATGCATGCTCTCTACTCCAGGCTAACCGCAGGCGACAGTGAGTTGCAGTAAGTGGAACGCATCTGTCAGGTCTACGAGCATATAGACCAATCTGCCCTAAGCGTCTGTACACTGTCTGCCTTGAAATTGTCGTACCAGTGGCTGAAGAGAGCTGACGTAACAGGTCTGAGGCTGTGCTCCGCCTGCTTCTTTTGGAAGTAACTGCCAAATACCGGTCCTCATTCGGCGTTGTAACGCTGGGGCGACCTGTGCTGTAACGTCTACTCACATTACCATCATCTTGGAATCGTTGCCAAAGCCTGGAGATGACACTCTGGGCAATTCGAAGTTCTCTGATACTTCCAGTTGGGTACGCCCACATTCCGGACGGCCGATAATTCTACCACGTAAAAAATCATCCAAATGCGTCCTTTGTGTCATAACCATTCGGTTATTGCACTGAAATGCTTATAAAGCGCCTGCGAACAATTTTACTTTTTTGCCTGTATTCCTTATATATCACTCTCTTACACTCTCGTCATTGTGACGTACCATCGGTGTCATCTGGTTACTTCCTGAAATTTGCATATGATTCTTGAAGATGTGTGTAGTGATTTTACAGGTGATATAATTATTTTAGAGTTCGATTTCCGCGTGACTCCGAATTATCCTTAATTTATGGACATGAGTGTAAATTCTGCTATAGGGATCTAAATGAGAATGAGTCAGAGTAACACAGAGGGACACACTGAGTGCTTGTGAAATATGTAAAAAAGCAATTTTACGGTTTTAAATTTATTTTAGTGTGGTTTCAGTTGTGTAGATTATATATATATTTAAAATGTTTCTCAAAAATCATGAATAACATTAATGTTAGTACACCTCTTAATAGTCTTCTGAAGCGAATGTGTTGGGATTATCATGTTTTATTATGTGAATGCAGGCCATTTGAGAAGTGCATTGTGTCAATCTTAGCAATGAATGTGAAACGGAGGGAAATGCCAGTTTCTTATATATGTATTGGGGCTTATTTCATTTGTCTGATTAAATCAGAACAAGTCCACGAGTGTTGTACCTCTCATCACACAGCGAGGATAAGTCTGGCAACAGCTGCAGGAAGAAAAACTTGGCAGTGCTGAAATGACAACAGCGAATGATATTCTATGGATTTTAGATATTTTGATTTTGAGTCGATGTTTTTTGCGTGTTTTGCGATACTATTGCCTTACAAATTCTGAGTTTTGGATGAATGAAATGGAATCCACTGTCCCGCTGCGGATATTAGTAAAATATATTTAGAAAATTAGCTGCGTTGAAAAGGAGGAAACCCTTGTGTTTGAATTTGAGGTATTTTACCACCTGAAGTTGCGTCGAGTTCAGAATATTATACCAGGCTTATTCACGCTGGTGCAGATAAGTTCAATTTTTGTTATTGTGTTTATAGTGTATAACTTGCAAATATATGAATAGAATTCTATAAAATAAACATTTAAAATTCTGGAATGGTGTTTTAAAATTTTAGACGTAGAGTATTCACATTGCTATGTCGGAGCCAGTGGCAGTCAGGTGTAAAGTAAAATTGTTTTGCTCCCCGACATAACAAAATGGCGAGCCTGCCAGGATTGCGATCCTGATTCGAATGTGTTGGGATTATTATATTAATATAGCTGAGAAAGTATTGTGTTTGCTATATTATATTATTGTAGAAGTAAATATTATTTTAAGTGTTATTTGGAAACGTAATGCGTTTTATCGTCTGCAATGCTGAATTTCGTATTTGTATTCGAATTAGTTTCAATTTTCAATCGAAATGCTATACGTTAAATCGTCTGCAGTGTAAACGTAGAAAAGGTTGATCTTCTGCGGTGATATTCAAAATAATTTTGTTTTGCTGTTTTATGAATGTTATGACATATTGTTATTTATTTTTATTACATTGAGTTATATTTTTGGAATTGCTGAGTAAAGACGTTTTTGAGGATTTGTCGGATTGATGATAACATTACAGATTTTGAGTTTTGAGTGGGTCTGCATTTAAAGATAAAATGGATGTTGATATGTTGAAGAAAAGGCGTACAACGGCACGCAGTGCCTTTACTAGGACGGCTAAGATTCTAAAAACCGAACTTTGTAAAGATGTTCAAGCGGATAGAGATGTATTGAAAGACAAATTTTTGAAGTTGCAGATGATAATTGCTGAGTTGAGATCTTGCGATTCAGAAATACTAGATTCAATGATTAAGGGAAAAGCCGCTGAAGATGATCTGGAAGCAGAGGTTATAGGCTGCGAAGAATATTCAGATGAGTTTATCACGCTTAATCGTCGGGTGAAAGAGAAGATAATGCGGTTGACCGTAGTGCCAATACGAGTTCTAACACGGATAGTAGCATAAGTGCTTCTAATGAAAAACGGTACAAATTGCCGAAAATTCAAATTAAAAAAAATTCGATGGACAATTATTAAGTTACCTTACATTTTGGGGTCAATTTAAAAAGATCCATGAGGATAAGGAGCTTAATGACGTTGACAAACTCCATTACTTAGCT